TGGGTGGGAGGGACTGGCTCGTGATTCTTCCAGATTCGACCGGTTTGCTGCTCTCGCACGTTTGCCGCTGCTGCTTGCCGCCTCGGCCTATCGATCGGCTCTGCTCTCTGCCGTCGTTGTGCTGCAGTGCGCTGTGATAGGCTCCAGTTCCGGCTCCACATGCGCAGCTCCTCCCGACTTCTTCCAGCTCTCTCCCTCTCCCCTCTCTCGCCAGACTGCCCCGCCCAACATTCGTTGCCCCGTGCCTTTTTTGGCCCCACCATTGCGAATTTTGAAGTCGTGCGGAGGATTCAACTAGATTTTTTTTCTACTTGCCACTTCGAAGCTGATCTTGGCGGTGCTTCGATGGCGCCATTTGGCCCGATAGATGGCTCGGATCGCCCCGATTCCGATTCCGAATCGACTCGCTCCTTCTCAAGCTCAGCCTTGAAGTCGCAGCATAGCATGGCGCCCAGTCGTCAGCCTCTTGCCTCCAACCTGCGAGCGAAGCAGACACGCCTGCCGAATGACGAGTAAAGCTCATGAAACGACCATGTCAGTCGACGTGGCGGACAGGACAGGCGCCTGGGAAACAAACGACTGGCATTTCGGGCCATGCGTAACGACAGTGAAGCAACAAACAAGCGGCAGCGGCATCGCTATCAAGATTAGAGGGTCATAGCAAAGGACAACGAAGAAGGATTCCGTAAAAACAACGAGAGGATCAGCCATATAGCTGCCAGTCGAACTTTGCCGTGCTGCCCCACACCTGGCCACAACCGGCATACTGGTTGGCTTGCAGCGAGATGGTGTCAAGCGTCGAGGCGGCACCCGAAGCGTCGGCCGATCCCAGACGCAGGACGTGTGCAGACTGGCTGCTGGTGCTCACAGTCTGCCACGCAGCGTAGTTGGCAGTGTTGGGGTTTCCGCTTCGCATGAAAGCCACCCAGCGTGCCTGCACCTCCTGCACCACTGCGCGCTTCGATTCATCCACCTGGCTAGGATCGGCAAACACCAGGCGAATGTCGTCCTCGTGACACACCTTATCCTGCGCACAGTAATCGTTGCCTTCGTTCGTCGGGTAGGTGATGCCGCGCTCGAACAGGCCCACGTACACCTGGCCCGCAGCGGCGTAGCGTCGCGCATTGTTCCAAGCGGCGCATGTAAACATACCCTGCGTCAGCACGGTCTCGAGGTTTCGCCTCAGACCGTCCTGTGCGCTCGAGTAGAGCTTGACCTGCACCGGTGCTGGGTACGCCGACACGTTGGTGGCCATCGAGTACTGCGTCGTCGAGTCGAGCACGTCCGCGCGGCCGCCGTTGAACATTTGCCCCAGCAGCTGCTGGCGCGACAGCGACATCGGCCACGCCCGCATCTCGGCAGTGTCGTGATTCATGCCCGTCGGAAGCAGCAGATTGCCAATCACAGAGCCAGCCTCGTTCTCGACGTTGGTCACGATGATCGGCTTGGACGCCACAGCCGCCGGATTCGCCTCGAACGGCGTCCCCGTCAGCTGGCCCACGAAGGGCCGCCACACCTCGGACACCGCAACGGCGTCGTCGATGCTCTGCGCAGCTTGCACCGTCTGCATGCTCGCATCCAGCACGTCGCCAGCCGACATGGCACGCAGGCACGCCACGTCCGAGCAGCTCGTCTGGCCCATGGCGTACCGGCTCACCGCGTCGCTGGTGCTGGCGGTCTGCGTGCCAAAGTTGGCGGGGTCCGAGTGCAGGATGGCCTTGTGAAAGAGGCTTGTTGCCGAAGGAGTCGAGAGAAGCGTGCGGATCAGATGCGCTCCGCTGCTCTGTCCGGCAAGCGTGACGCTCGAGGCGTCGCCGCCAAACGCACCAATGTTGTCGTGCACAAACTTGAGTGCCTGGATGGCATCGCGCACGCCCTGGTTGCCGCTCAGCTTTGCGCCCGGTCCCACCTGCGATTCATCCGTGAACTGCTCGGGCGCAAAGAAGCCAAACATACCCAGGCGGTACTGGATCGTGACGACCACCACGTTGTTCTGCGCAGCCAGATACGACGCGTCGAGGCCAGGAGCCGTAGACGAACCCGCAATGAAGCTGCCACCATGCACCCACACGAGCACGGGCAACGGACCCTCCGTCGACGGTTTGGGGCGAAAGACGTTGAGGTAGAGGCAGTCTTCGCTCACGTTGTCGGCGGCGATCCCATACCGCGAATCTGGCTGCTGCATGCATGCTTTGGGCAGCTGCGATGCATCATACGCTGCGGTGCGGTTGGGCAGAGCTGTCAAAGGCTGCGGCGCCGCGAACCGCAGCTCACCCACAGGAGGCTGCGCGTACGGGAGCGTGAATCGCTGCGACCCGTACGCGGTATTGGTGCCCAGAACCGAGCCGAGCGCGAGGTTGACCTGCAGTGGGCTCGACAGGCTGCACCGCCGGTCGGCTCGGCAGGTGAGCACGGGCGCGCCCGCGCACATGTGGGCGCAAGTGACAAAGCTGCACACTAGGCAGATCAGAGAGCTTTGCAGCGTCATCTTGACGAAGGAAGGTGATGGATGGTCTGGATGATGGAGGAGACAGGACGTCGGAGGGGAGCACTTCTTATAGGCATAGCCAGGAGGATGGAGCCGTTTCATCGAGGACGCCAACATTGAATGAAGTGCCAAGTTTGGCACCGGGACGAATGGAACAAAGGGACATTTAGGTTCGCCTCCCGCAAACTGCAATGCATGTCGATCCCCACCAATGTGCCACCGCCAGCAAGCCAGCGTGAAGTCGCCCGGCTTTCCTCCGTCCAACGCTTTCTCTCCTCTCGTGCTTGCTAGTATCGTTGCGCGTGACGTTCAGATTGTTGGGCGAGAGACGACAAAGGGCCTGCAATGCTTGACGGTTGTCTGGCTTCTCTCGGCAATGCAGGTACGCTGGAGGGGTCTGAGCGCTTGGCTCTGCATGACGGCGCCTCGGAGTGCCAATATCCACCGTATGCACGGCAAGAATAAAGGGAGCCGGCATGACGTCTGTCACGCGACCCATCTCCCGGCGGGGTTGTTCCGTGCCGTCAAGCCGGATCCCCTTTGTCCGCTGCGGCAGAGGCTCAGGTCCCTTTCATGTCGCAATGGCTGCAAAGATTCCGGACCGCAGCAGGACAAAGGGACGCAGACGCACGTACACCGGGCTCCGACTCCGCCTGCCTGCATCGCCCACGCCATCTCTCATGCTGACCCAGGCGCTTGGATCTCGTCGCCGCCACCCAGACGCAATGCACAAGCTGCACAGCTCGCGCCACACGCATACGGCCGTTGGAGCATCTCGACATTTCCGTGCCAATCACGGCCCACGCAACGCGGATGCGCACTACACTTCGCCAAAGTCGCCGTGGCCGGTGGACTTTGCATGCTCAACCGCCTGCTTCTCGCCCGTGAGCTTGGTGCCGCACGTCTTGCATCTGAGGCTGAAGCTGGCGGTGTCGGTGTAGTATCTGCGCTGCTTGAGCTGCTGTGCGAGCTGTTTCGCCGCCGCCAGTACAGGGTCCTCATCCACCTCGACGCCCACTGCGCTCAAATTCGGAAAGACGGTCGTGCCCCTATCCAATGATGCGCCTGGCCGGTCTATGAGGGCGACAGCGTCGTAGTGGATGCCCGAGTAGATGACGATGCCGCGGTTCTCAAAGTTCTTGTCCTCGCCGAACCGGTGGATGGTGCCAGAAGCGACGTCGACCGAGGTGAGTTCGACGCCAAAGTGCTCGGCGAGGATGCTGAGTTCGATGGCGCCACCCCAGGTCTGCGGATTGAGGATCTTGGAGATGTAGGCCTCGCGCGGCTGGCCGAGCACGATATCCGGATACGTGGACGGATTGGAGCGAATCGCATCGGCGACGGTAGACCGAAGACCGGAGCAGATATCCGCCCCGAGTCGCTGCTCGAACAGAAAGCCGATCGAGTTGAACAGACACGAGTTGTCGTCCGGCACAACTTTGAGCGCAAGGTAGCTCTGGCCGGAAGAAAGTGGGACCGAGACGGATCCATCGGTCACTTTACTGTTGCTGGGCGCACTCGAGCCTGCAGATGCAGATGTGCCGGGCGTGCGGGCAGTAAGGCCATCGTTGAGGGTTCGTGCACCGAGCCCGTACGAGCGTGGGCCTGTTGCGGTGGACACAATGGGTTGTGGACCTCCCATTCGTCCGAACGAAGAGGTCGCAGCCGATCCCGACGCACCTGCAGATGCGGCCGTCGCAGCGCCACTTGCGGCTCGACGCGCAACAATCACCTGTTCGCCCTTTCTGACACCGACCACATCCGAGCTCAACAACGTATCGCCACCAAGCCCGGCGAGAGCGAGCGGCTTGGGAGGATAGCCAATCTTGAGCTCCTGGTCCGCTGGCGCGATGCCGCTCTCGGCCTGGATATACGCCTGCAGTGCCGACAGCGTGGTCGAGTCGTCGAGCGCGAACGAGCTTGTGCCCTCTGGGTGGCGGATGCGGATCATGACGAGCTGGCGGTGTGCGGTAAGTGATGGCTGATGTACGACATGCACAGCGCGTACAAGATGCAGGTCGTTGCCGCATCCTTTGCCGCACCCGTGTTGGTCTTTGCACCGTCAAAGCCTCCACACGACACAACGCTTCGTTGACGCGTCCCTCTGGCGACGATTTTTCGCTGATGTTAAACTTGACAGGCGAGCCTGGCCTTCTTCTCGTGTGCATGCTCAATCGACTCACCCTGGCTCGTCTTGGGTACACACGCAGCTACTTCGACGTAGGAGCGGATAGGTGAAGATTCAATGCACAAGCGATCTATAGACTATCATCTTTGCTGGCGAGCTTACGACGACGACGAGCTCATGCCGACGACCATGCTGTTCTTCATGGTGACCGAGCCCTTGAGCGTGAGATCGGCGACGCGCGAGCTCTTGCCCACCCAGATCTTGTACGTGCCGTCGACTACGCGGAACTCCTGCCTGACCACGTCCCACACGGAAAAGTCGCGCTTGCTCAGCTTGAACGTGGCGGTCTTGGACGCGTTGGGCTCGATGTCCTTGACCTTGTCGAAGCCTCGCAGCTGTCGGATCGGCGCCTCGGCCTCGTCGGGATAGCCAACATAGAGCTGAGCCACCTCGTCGCCCTTCATGGCGCCGACGTTCTTGACATCGGCGGTGACCTCGACGAGGTACTGGAACAGAGATGCTGCGCCACCGGGCATCTTTTCGCTCCTGGACTCGACCATGCTGGGCGCATAGCAGTTGTCGGCCGACTTTTGGATGGCGAGGTTGGCGTAATTGTAGTTGGTGTACGAGATACCGTGGCCGAAGGGGATGAGAGGCTTGAGACCCATCTTGTCCCAGGCGCGGTAGTCGATGTAGAGTCCTTCGGTGAAGTCGACCTGCGGGTCGCTCGCCGGACTGCCAACGATGCGCGGGTAGTGAACCGCATCGTCGTCGGCGAGCATCGAGTAGGGCATCTTGCCGGACGGGTTGACGTCGCCGTACAGCACGCGCGCAAGCGAGTTGCCAGACTCCTGTCCAGGCAGATGCGGCAGCACGAGCGCGGTGATGTTCGGGTGGTCGAACCAATCGCTCATCAGCACAGGACCGACAGTATGCATGACGACGATCGTGTTGTTGCTCTGCGACGCCACGAGCTTGATCAGCTCGTCCCCATCGGCGTCCAGACGCAGCGAGTGGCGGTCGCTGTCTTCACCCGACCTCGCCTGGACAAAGACAAGCGAGGCGTCGGCTAGACCAGCCGCCTGCTTGATGAGCATCTGATTCTGCTCGTCGCCGACGTCGTTGAGGTTGGCCAGCACCGCGCCCTGGTTCTCGCGAGCCGCCTCCGAGATGCCAGCAAGCGGGTCGATGAGGTAGGGGAAGAAGCCAGCGCCAGATCCCCACCCGATCGCCTGCGTGCCGTTCGACGTCGCATTCGCAGGGCATAGCTGCGAACCGAGTCCGATCCACGACTGGCACGCGTTGAGCCCGTACGGGTTGGGACCGGCATCACTGCCAAACACGGCGACGCGCGCCTGCTTGGCAAGCGGCAGACCGACAGTGTATCCCGTGTTGCCTTGCTGGCCCGGCTTGTGCGTGGCCTTGTTGTAGATGAGCGTCACCGCCTCTTCTGCCACCTCCTTGACGATCTTCCAGTGGTCGCCTTGCACATTGCGGTGCTCGTTCACCACCGAGCCGTTGTAAAGCGTGTTCTGGTAGCCGTCCTTGTAGCTGACGGTGGGATAGTCCTTGTCCTGTCCGTGCAGATACCACTGTGCGAGCAGGCGCACGATTCCGTCATTGATGCGCTCGATCTTGACTTCGCCTGCGTCGAGCGCGCGAACGAGGTCCGATCCGCCCACCAGATTCTTGTACCCACCCGTCATCCCGCCGGGCATCACCACGTCCGATCCACCGTTGTACGTGTTGCTCGTGTTGAACGCCGCCGACCAGTCGGTCACCACAAAGCCCTGGAAGTCCAGCTCGTCCTTGAGGATCTCGTTGAGCACCTTGCTATTCTCGCACCCTTGCGTTCCATTCAGCCGATTGTACACGCACATGATGCCACCACTTCCGGCTCGGACGGCGTTCATGAACGGCCAGAGGTAGAGCTCGTGCAGTGTGCGGTCGTCGAGGTTGGCGCTGTAGGTGAGCGCGGTGTTGTTGTTCGGGTTGAGCGTGTACGGATCCGACGCGGCATACAGCTGTCGGTACGTCTCCTGCTCGTACGCGAGGAAATGCTTGGCGGTGGTGATCACACCTGCCGACTGGGTACCAGAGACGGTGTAGTAAGCAGCCTCGCCGTGGAGGTAGGGATCGGGTCCGAAGCCCTCCCAGTTCCTGCCCTGGTACGGCCCGCGACCGAGCGGACCACCCGTGACAGGGCCAAGGTGGACATTGACGCCCTTGGCGACGAACTCTGCGCCGAGGGCTGCGGCGCGCTTGTACATCAGATCTCGGTTCCACGTAGCTGCGGTCGTCACACCGGCGGGGAAGACGGTGACAAAGTCCGAGGCACGGAATCCGGCCGGACCATCCTGGAAGCAGAGCTCAGGGATGCCGAAGCGGTCAACACGGCCGAGCGTACCTTCGCAGCGACCGCCCGTGATGCCCGCGGTGAGGTTGACCTTCTCGTCGAGCGTGAGCTGGTCGACGACACTTCGAGCCTTGCCCACCGCCCACTCCCAGCCACCATTGCCCGTGACTGGGTGAAAGGGGCTGTTGATGTCCGCCAGCTCAGGACCTCCGCGGTAGAAGGTGCCCGCAAGAGGGGCCTGTGCCAGCGCCGAATTCGCCTCGGAGCTGATGTTCCACGAGAGCGTCGAAGTGTCGGTCTGGTTGGATGACGAGGCTTGGCGCGTCTGCATGAGCATGTTAAAATGCTCGAGCGACGCGGCCTGTGCGCCCGTGTGGGCGGCGTAAACGCCGAGCACCAGCAGCGCCTTGACGCTTGCCTTCATAATGCCAAGTGGGCGCTTGCGTTAATCGACAGGTGTCTTTCTGTGGGCGAAAGCCTTTCAACAGCCAAGACTTGTGATCCGATGGCTCCAGGAAGAGAACAACGGGAAAGGCGAGGTGGAGACGAGAGAGAAGGGAGGAGAAGATCGTGGCTTGACAGTCCCGTGTGACAAGCGGAGTTGCGAATGTACTTATAGCGAGTCAAGTGTGGTGCGGAGAGAGAAGAAGAACTTTTGTGGGGCGGTTGCGGGGTTGTCGGCTGACGGTGACCTTTTCTCTCGGCAGACGCGGAGGACAACAATGAGCACTGGGTGCGTCGAGGATGCCGGACTCGCCTGCTGACAAGCGATGGTCCGTTCGCGATATAGTCAAAGGTCACCGGCTGGTCTTGGCAGCATCTCGTCTAGCATCAATACGGCAGCCTGTCGGCACAGAGGAAGGCACACAGCGATGTTTCAAGGTCTCGCGAGAAGCAGCGGCACCACCTCTTCCGTGCAGGCTTCAGGACGTGCTATGCGAGTCGGCAGCCGGACCGCTACTCAGTCATTAACATTACACGCCTTGCACCCTGGGGGGCAAACACAGCAAGCACGCTGCGTATGCGTCTGACGTGCAGGGTCGTATGTACTCATCCTGCCATTTTCGGCACACCACTACCGGTGATCCCCCAAGCTCACGGTCGCCGGTCTTGGGTGGCCTTGAGCTACCCATGTGAGGATCCATGGCCGTATCGCAGCAGCAGACGGACGACGCTGTACGCAAGCGCGGATGGCGTGTGGGG